GTCCGGAATTGTGGCGATGTGTAGGGGGGGGCTACAGGTATTCGCTACTGTAGGTAGGTTTAACATTGAGGAAAGGCAGAGCCTAGAGGGTGATGTTTTAGAAGGGGAGGTGCCCACAGCCGATCATCTTACACGCAGACTGAGGTGTGTTTGTCTCTCTATCAAACTTCACTTTCTCCTCACCTAGACTCCTTTCACTTGATTCAGTGTCAGTGCTGTAATTACAACTGATAAAACCTAACCCATTTTTTGTCAGTGATTTTGGTCCATCTGCTCCGCACTGCATTTAGTCACAACCGCAATTCAAAAATTAATTTGACAAATTACCCACAACAATGTCCAGTATTCACAAGTGTACCTATTTATTTTACAGTGAATCAATGCTTTATGAATAATTTTAAATATAACATAAGTGTTATTGTAATTTTAAAATGAAGAAAAGTCGAACAATTACTATTATGTTACATCACACAGTAATAAATAAACTAAACAGCAATAGCTTCCTTCATAATTTGCACTGATAATCATATCCTATGAAATATTTCTAACTTCTTAATATTTGTTGGAGAGATTAAGGGTCTAAAATTTCACTGAAGAGCGATCCTTAGTTAAATAGGTCTCAAATTTTCCCTCAGTTTTCATATGAAGTGTAATTCAGTGTTAACACTACATACAATGCCATGCATATTGCTCAATCCACTGAATATTTAAAAAATATTTTTTATTTACCTAATAGAGAAATTACTTCAGTGAAAATGTCTTCACCAAGGCTAACAAATTTTACTTCTGAAACAAAGTATACACTCACAAATTAACACATTTACTTACATCCAAAACTAAAGTTGTTCGAATCATTTACCAGACATTAAATGTCCAGGAAATTTAAATATGACGTATTTGCTAGAATGGGCACAATGCAACATCTAAGTCCAATCTGGCTTCTTAACGTAATCCATAGGTATTAAGGGCACTGCAGTAATGACGATTCTAAATACGATGCTCATCTGCCGAGTTTCCTGTGAAAACATGCATTTATAAATATTCAAACAGCTTAGAAATTTCTGCTAGTCAAGAGCAAGCCACCTGGGTGGTCTCTTCAGCAGGTGATAAAACTAACAATTGGTTTTAAACACTTCACAGACTTCATAGGCAATTTTTCAATCCAATAGCTAAGTGCAAGTTCTTTTGAAACACAACTGTTGTTGTCACACAACTTTGCTCATTTAGGGCATTGTTCCAGGACAAAATCTCGAGTAGAAATGCTAAAAGTAGCAAGTATTGGCCATCAGGATTCTTCTTGTTGTTGTTTTGCTGTTTTATCCGACAGAATAAAGCCATGTGGTTTTTAAAAATGTCATATTTAGTTTCCTTCACCGGATAACCAATTCCTGAATTTGTTAATGTTTTACCACAATCTCACATGTTCTCATTCTATTTATCGTTTTCAACTACACTTTGATCAATCCCTTAAGGGTAAACTTTGTGAACGGTTGATCTTTTCAAAGGCAGAATTCTTTTAGCTCAGGACTGTCTCCTAGTTGCTGAGATAGATCCGCCTGCCTGATTTGGTCAGCTTCTTCTCTGCACGGATGAATTGGTTCAGTCGGTCCACCATGGTGGTCAGCTTGACCTTCAGCTCCTTACATTCCAGATCCTTGGGGTCAATGCCTGGGGAACAAAGTCACAGAAAGAAAACGCTGAATTATTTGAAGGTTCTGCAGCTTCCTTTGGATGAGTTTCGAATGAAGAGCTTCCATGTGCGGCAACGTTTTCTTGGCGTAAGCTCCGAGCTGGACCAAGAGAGGGCAGCAATTTTCTTAGCAACAGAGGTTCCTTTGGTAGTAACTGCCCATTGCTAGTTCACGGCAAACTCTGAAACGCAAGCGTTGCAGTCGCACGGCCACCAACAAAACGAACACTCCCGATCAACATGGCTCTTTTCAACCAATGAGGGGGTGCTTCTGCTCAGGGCAGATACCATTTCCTTCCATGCTACTTAGTGTCTTTCTCGTGTATCTGACAGGGAGAATATCCACATATGCCCACTGTGTAAAGTTAAAAAGGGTAGGCATGAGAGAGGCTATGGAAAGGGGGATGAAAATTCCCAAGTGAGGCTTTGCCAAGATGTATCTGAAACTATGACAACCGTCACGGCAACCACCTGCTGCACTCTATACCAACGGAATTGGCTGAAAAACAACCATCCATCACCTTTTTTCATCTCATGACACGTGTAGTAGGAGCTGCTTTTACAATTTAATGCTGTTGTTTCTTCAAAGTTGGAGGAGGCAAAAACAGAAATGCTAGCCGAATTCTTTAGATTACTGTCATATACATGTATTTTCTTTTTAAATGCAGCATGGCACAAGTAAACTATGACGTGACAAGTCTGGGAGCGCCAAGTTGGCAAATATGTCACTGAAGTTGCTGAGAGTCAAATAAGCCAACTAGTGTTGGGCAGTTAGTCAAGTGACAGAACAAAGGTTGGAGTAAGGAACTCCATGCGTCAGTTTTGCACATTCAAATAAAAGTTACATGAGGCAAGTGCATACTGGCTCGAAAATCTGACATCTCATGCTCTGATGATAATTTTCCTCCACCATGCATGCTAACACCTAACTGTATTTTTGCTCATAAAAAAGGTCCAATCACATACTCTCGATGTAGTCTTCCCTCTTGGCCGGTTTCTGGAATCTTCTCTCAGACAAGCTGCTCCATCGCTTAAATCGCTGCAGCATGAAGTCCACAATCTCCAGCTCATTCTTCACAGCTTCATTATCATGACGAACCTGAAAGAGTAGTCAATACCAAGCCATTTAACCACAGAACCATACATGCTATGCAGCTCAGTACTTCTGGTGGCTCAGTTTAGGTCTGCTCGTGTCTAATCAAATCTATTCAAGTCTGTCCTGTTCTAAGTTGCATCTGTGAAGTACTGGTCACAACCAGTTCGACCCAGTTGGGACTAGTCTACTCCAATTCCATCCAGCTTGGTTCAGTCAACTCCTGGTCAGAACCGGTTCAATTCACTTTAGTCCACGGAAGATCAAGATAGGCTAAATCAAATGCAGTCCACTCAAGTTTGGGGCTTAATCTATTCAAAATCAGTGTTTTTCATGGTCTTTAACGTACACAATTTGGTCTGCTGAGGTCAGACTGTATAGCATCCAGGATTTGGAAAAAAATCAACAATACGACACAATTCAAAAGGAGTCTTCTTTCTTCAGAATAAGTATTCAGGAAGGTAAATGGATAAATGTGTTACTAAAGTGCAGGATAATGAAATACACCGTATTACGTATTCAGAAAAAGTAAATAAAGCAAGGAAAAATCTTAAAATGAGACATACCCTTCCTTATGTTAAATTACATCCAACTGCTTTATCTTTGGCTCTTCTTGCTCCAGACGATAAATGTTGATTAAATATTTACCTTCCCGAAAGTCTCGTTGATTATGGACAGAAACATGTTGATCATAACAAACACAATGATGACCACGTAGGTGAAAAAGAAGGTAGGGCCTAGGAAGCTGTGCACAGAGATCATGTCTTGAAACTCAAACTTGCCTGCAAAAGAAAAACATCATTCAGGCAGAGACAGCACGCAATATATTGGGCCAGTTTCTCAATTTGGCTTTTCTTCCACAGGAACAAAAGTTAACCCTTCTTAAGCTAGAGTTATAAAAAAACCTGCTCTTGAACTTTATAGGAGCTGAGGGGGGAGGAATTGGCCCCCCCTTGACATTTTCCTTGAAAATGTCACAATGCAACTTTTTTCAAGCCAAACCTTCAGGATTATTCAAGTAATAGCTTATAATCATTTTGAAACTAATTAAGTGAAAATAAAATTATGACCAATCATTCTTATTAGAAATGTGCTCATATCCCAAACCAGGTCAGCGAAACGTTAATTTTCCTACTGACGTGCTCAATGCATGCAGATTGAGACACGTGGCCCTGAACGACGGATGGCCAATGAATGAATAAATTAGAATGAATGAATAAATTAAAATGACTGAATTGAAACAACAAAGATGGCTTATTTTTGGACTGGTCTACTGAAAGTAAATGCTGCAGCAGACTCACCCAGGATGGTTGAGAACAGAGTCTCCAGTGTCCCTACGAAGGTGCTGAAGTTCTCCAAGTGCAGGTGGAAGATGGCGTAGGCAAACAGTGCGTAGGCACCGAATACCAGGCAAAAGACTACGCCGTAATAGGCCAGGTCCTTGCCGCATTGACGCAGCGTCATGGAGAAGAGAAGTAGGCGTCGGTTAAAGCGCAGGAGGCGGATGAATTTGACGTTGACCAGAAAGAGGACAAAGCCTGAGAGGTAGCCATATAACTGGAAAGGACAATATAAAAAATCAACTTTAGGCCTGTGTTTAACACAAATTTAACTTTGAATTATGACGAGCACACACGCAATGCATATCAATAATGACATGCTTTCGAGCAATGTGCAACATATCTACACGCAGTTCCTTCATTGCAATGTTACAGTTTAGACCCCTTCAGGCCATGACTAGCCGCAGTAAGACCATCATGTTTCCAACCTGAGACCTTCGGTCTGAATTCAAATCACAAGCTATTAAAATGAACTGCAACAAAAGCATTCCTTTCGTCACCGTCAACCCTGTTACTTTTGACTGGTCTTGCGTCTAGCTTGTGATGGTCTCACCAGCAAAGTTGTCAGTACAGAAAATGGTAGTTGGCAAACGGAAAATAGAATGTCGAATATTGGCACAGCTCAGCTGGTCAACTGTGGCAGAAGCCATCTTTATGAAAGCAATGTAACTAAACTAATGCAGACCGTTTGAGAACATACCGGTATCCCACAGTGCCACTTTATTACAACTGTCAAATGACTACTGACAAATCACCTGGTCCCAGTAGGCCACAAAATGAAAGTTCAGGAACACCTTGGGCTGGGTCCGCCACTGCTCCATCAGGTCCCAACCCACGAACATCCGGTAGAGGTAGAAGACGATGCTGGAGATGGCCAGAGCCAAGATGCACACCTCGCACAGGTTCCAGACGCTGTCAAAGTATTGCCGTTTCTCCCGGAACAGGTTCCTCAGCTCACGGACGAGGAAGTAGATTATGAAGAGGGTGTAGACAATCTGCCCGGCGAGGACAAAATAGGCAAAGGCACCGATGTAGCGGTCGAGACGGATGGTCCAAAAGTAGGGATAAGGTGTGGCTCCTGTGAACAATAAAAAAATTCATTTTTGCAAAATTGGACTTATTTCCGAGCAATAGTCAATTTTTTTTCACATCAAAAATTACACATAAACAGAGGGTGGTGTGGTATAAATCAAACCCTTATGCATCAGGTACCTTTGAAAGAGCAGAAAATTAGGGTTCAGACACATCCTGGCAGAAACGCACAAATGGCGCTCAAAACTCAGACTCAAGTTGGAGTTCTTTTGTCAATCCCTTGACATTTTCAGCACACTTTTAACAGAGTACATTAATTCTCATCAATGACCCAGAAGGTTGGATTTGAAGACAATCCTCTCTTACAAAAACAGTTAAAACACTTTCAAAAAGTGCCCTTCTTTGCTTAAATTTGGTACAAACTGTCCAATACACTCAGTGAACTGGCAATGGGCATCAATAAACCCTCAAAGGAAGACATAAACTACAACCCTTTCTGTGGAGCCCAAACCCACAATATTTTTTCCTCCGATCTGCCTTACCTCCTTGTGGTAAAAACTCCACCAGCAGAAAAGATGTGGAGTACATATTGACGTTTGCGTTGTACACCACAAACTCCAAGAAGACCGCCCTCGTGTGCTGGTCCACCCACATGTCCTGCTGGAGGTCGGCGGCGATGCGTAGGTTTTCTTCCAGGCTGTCGCCAAATTCAACAATGTAACCGCCCCCGTTATAGAAGGCGTGTTTTCCGTAGTACGGGAAGGAGGATACGTCGTACCAATGATTGTATTTCCAGGCTGACATGTAGCGGTTGGCATAGTTTGGTGGATCTTTGAAAGAGAAGCATTTTCATTTATTACTAAAGCTTGGTACTTAAAGGATACAATTTCATTGGCCAACTTGTGAGTTTTTTCACAACTGTTGGACCGAAAGAGAATATAATGTAGTGTGTATATACATGTTGTGGGAAGAGCAAAACCTGGTGAACATTAACATCCCTGACACAAAATTAAAATAATATTATTGATATTCTATGACTCCTCGTGAGCAATGGAGATTGAGTCACACAAAATGCACAAAATTGGGAACATTTTGGGCACCAACTTTGTTTCAAGTGGGAGTCAGACAGCAAATTTGTCAAGAGTGTTGCTCAAAAGCTCAAAGCACAAAGTGAAACATCTTGTGATACAATCATTTAGGGGCGATTTCTTGTCTCTTCTTGAAAGTGATTGCTAAATATCAACAAAAAAATATTTGTCTTAGTATACAATGCTGTGTACCACAGAAATTAACTGAAACAAAGATTGCGTCTTTCAAGCGGATCTACTGTATCAGACAGCATACACATAAAACATGAACAGCAGATTGGCATGATGAAATTAAAGAAAGCAAACAAACTTGGATTTATTTTCATTTCTTTGTTCTCAAGCAACAGAGGCATGACAATGCTATATACACTTCATTTCAAGTAGCCATGGTCACAAAAGGGTTGACAACTAAAGTGTCTCATGAGTACTAGCTTTTAATCTTTGCTAGTTGCTGTTCTTCTCTATTTTTCTTTTTTTGTAAATTTTTCACAATTGAAACAATTCAACTGTTTACTTTTTAATTTCTACATACTGCAATCGAATGATTTCTATCAGGTCATGAAGTTTCCAAAAGCTTCTTCTTTTGGTAATAATACATTGCAGAGTAGTTTGACATGTTGGACTTTAAAAAATCAGAGTTTCTTAACAAAAATAGAAGTGCATCAGACCAACCTGAGACATTGAGAGGTTGCCAGCCTGCGTCGTAGCTTGTTGCATCCTCATCAGCAATGCTGTATGGAGCTCGGCAGTCATGGTTTTTCATCCTTGACTTCAAAATCTCCGGAGTGATACACGATTCTAGATTTGTCAGATTCAATATTCCAGAAAAAAGCGGATATTAACTCGCGTGCATTAAAAATTGTGAATAATTAAGGGACTTGTGCATAAACAAAGAATGAAAGAGTAAAGTATAAAGCCATCAGCTGGTGTATGGATACTAAATTCATGGAAAAACAAGTTCAGTACTCTCTGTGATGTAATTTTGTGACTTAAACTTGTCTTTGACTTGAGATTGACTTGACTAAATCTCTCGTTACAGCTGTACAGATGGACACTTGTTCAGAAGTGCAACTTTTCCTTGAAAGCATGCCATTACAAACTAACAAACACTGTACAAAGTTCGTTGTGGACCAGAATTTCCTTTTCTCTGCATTCCAAGTTGCATGCCTGGCACGTCAGGACCACTTTTCTTGTGCAAAACCACTTCAGGCCGGTTCAGAATACAACAGGCGAAAGAGAACTGTTCGTGCTGAAATTCACTTTAGTTGAAAAATCTCCAACTTTTGTGTATTTGCAGCGTGAACGTTTCATCTGACAACACTAAGTCACATTCTCATTCACTTTCGTGCCAAGTATGAACCAGCCTCCAGGTGTGCTCCTCTTACGAGCAGACATCATGCTGATTCGTGCACATTCTGATGTAAATTAGTTGCTCAATCTCCTTGCCAAATTTTTCCGGGTTAGTTATTGTGATTGTTAAGTTATTGTGAGGATAAGTCTGTAATTGCGACAATCAAATTTCCGCAACTCGGTCTAGAATTTCATTATACAATTTGAAGAAAATTGGCCCCTGCTAAGCCCTGCCAAGGCATAACACACCCAGACAAGGATCCTACAAGACAAACTGAACATAACAAGGTCATGATATGCCTGTGGGTTACAACCTCACCTTTCTGGATTCGTAGCTGTCTGAATCTGACCCGCCCCACCAAGTGCATGCTGTTGTCGGCAAGTACGTTCTCCCGCCGACCACTCTCATCTGGCTCACCATTATACCAATCGTAAGAATACAATGAGGGGAAGAAGACATTCTCAGTGTAGTTCCAAAAGTGGTCCCGTCCACGAATCTGAAAAAAAAATCAAACAGATTAAATAAAAATTGAGCAAGAGCTATAGTGATAGAAACAGTTCCCAAGAGAGAACGTGCTCATGTCGGCGATAAAAAATGTAGTGTCTGCAATTTGTATTTTGTTAGAGAAGTCATAATTTCACAGAAGTTGTATTAATGCGTCAAAACCATCTACTGTTTCATAGCTCCGTTTCTACACACTACATGTATAGTAGGGGCAAATATTGTTGCTTCCCAGTACTAATTCACAGCAAATCAGGTTTTATAGCTGTATTTCGTTCTATGAAAATCAATTAGAATTTTACTTCTTGAAAGTTGTTCTAGAGAAAGAAGGTATATTCCTAAAAGAAATACATGTTAGATTGTGATCTTGGTAGGCCCCATAACATGATCTCGCACTCATGAGAAACAGATTTGGTAAATGTAAAAGACTCCATGTTTGGTTTCTAACATCATCATTCTTAAAGAGTTTCCAGCATAGAAAAATCAGCCCTTCCGGGTTTTTCAGTTGGTTAATTTCACATCACTTTGATCCTGTTCCTTGTCGGTCTTCAGCAGCTACAACCTTTATAGGGAATTCACTCTGGTTAACCTTTGTGAAGAGCATGCGACCGTTGTACGAAGCCCCGACAAACATGTCCGTCATGGACTTGTTGACGTAAAAGACACTGGGATCCCGGTCACCAAAGCAGATGAGCATGGTCAAGTGGAGGAAGATGAGATAAAAGACTATCTCTCGGATGATCTTGTGCATCTTGATCTCCTTGACCCTGCAGAGAAAGTCGCAGCGTTAATGATTTACACTGACTGTCTCCCTTTAAGCTATGTACACCGTACTTCCAGTGCTATCAGGAATATGTTTATAATGAAGCACTTTGAGCACCAGTGCTAGTGGATATATATGCACCATTAACACCTGTTAACCCTTGTGATCTGGACGTGATATTTTGAAAACCTGAGGGATGCATAGCACTCTACGGGAAACTAAGAGTGCGACCAAACAGTTGTTTTGTAATATCTCTTTCTTCATGATAATTTGTTCTTCAGATATATAGTAATAGGAGAAAAGTACTCGGAAAGTACTCGGCCGAGTACTTTCCGAGTACTTTTCTCCTAAAAAGTTAATTTGAATTAAACAGTGATGGTCTGAAGTCATTATGTTGCTTTGTAATCTTACCTTTATGCATGTATCATCAAATGCCGATGTACTTCAGCTTTGTTCCCTCCTAACTAGTTAAATATTTGGTAAAGAACTTGGCTCTCAAAAAGTACTCGACTACATCACTGATATCTACTAATCAGTAAGTACATGTGCTCACAATGCTAAGTGCTTAGTTAATAGCAATGATATCTCAGTCACCTTGTGTGCTTGAAGAAGTGCATTAAATGACATTTAGTAACACGCCTGAGGCTAAATGTGAGCAACCTTTGGCAAAATAAAAGAATTAATCAGTTTCTTGTCCCCTGCCTGCTTTTATCCATCTGTCCTTTTTATTTTAAAACTTGTTGTTTCTCTCTGTTGAATTTTCAACATATTGTGAATTTTAGTTTTTTCTAACAAGACATGTAGCTTAAACCGCAAATTGAAAACCTGTTAGATTGGATGACAGCTCTTATTACATCAGACAAAAAAAGGTATTAAAAAGTGGTTGAGAAGAATCCATCTGCCATTTTGGACACAGATTTGGTTTAAAACCAAAAAAGCCACCTCCTCCAACCTTTCAAAAAACCAGGCTAGAAACTGAAAAATGTTTCATTCAGCCTTATGGATTTTGAAATGGTGTCTTTAATGGGCACTTACAGACTTATACAACATAATGCAGTCACGCTAAGTTGTTTACATACATGGGCACTTTGAGGTACGTGGCAGTGAGGTGGGACTAGATATACGCTGAGCCTCCATAGGGCAATGTACAGGTAGGCAGAGAGTGCCTGTTATGTTTTAGGTCTACTGGCTTGGTATCTCTCTTTGGTGTCATGGGGGGCTCATGCATGGTATCTAAAACCTTTCATAACACATCTCTTTCTGGTTCTTTATCCCGGTTGGCTGAAACAGTCACTTATAATTACAGTCACGTGCTTGTGCATGAAATTTGCATCAGTGCAAACTGGATGCGCACAAAGAAATTGCCAGAGCATAAAATTCAGATTCCCACAGCCAGTGGAAAGGTATACAACAGAGAGAGGTATCAATTTTTTTTTAATCCCACCTGATGTCTCTGGCTTCTGCGAGATCCTCTGGGTGTAATGGAGCCAGATTCTTGGCAGATACCTCCTCCTTGAGTTGCTTCAGGCGTGCCATCTTGGCCGGGTCCTGCAGCTCCTCTGCTGTCATGCGGTCATGGAGCCACTCCTCATCATCTTGCAGATGGGGCGCCATTGCCAGGTTGCTGTTCTCCTCTTTCTCGGGGTCGCGGATGACCAGGGAGAAGAACAAGGCCAGGAGCAGCACCTGTGCGGGGAAAAAGGTTGAAAGCAGGATGAAACAGAGCCGATGTGATATGCCAAATATGAATTAAGAAATCAGGTTGAGAAGTTTTACATTTTGTGTAGACTTGATCATTGGAATAATTGACTATGGGCATTTAACGCTAAACCTTGAAAGGCTGGATGAAGAATATATCCTGGATCAGTGAAAAGCACATTGAGGTCAGCCACTCCATAGCTTTGTCTGGGCCGAACTGACCAGCCACCTCGATGGTCAGCCAGAAGGCCACAGCCACCGAGGTCAAGACCAGGAGCCAGGCCAGGCAGCAGAATTGCCACGGCAGCTCAAGCCCTTTCTTGATCTGTCGGGTCTTCTTGAAGCCCAAGACCGGCTTGAAGGCTTGATCCTCCCTGGGCGAACTAGTGGCAGAAGTGGGATACTCAAGGTGTGCATTTAAAGCCTGGGAATGCAGCAAACTTGACTGGCTGTTCATCAGTGAAAGGGAGATGCTGGGGACACTGCGAGCAGACTCCTGGGCATCCATGTGGGCAAGTTCCTACAAGTAAGATTAAGAACAGAATTTCTTAGCTTTTACTTACAAAGTGTAAATATGATCCAACTTGGTTGGGTTTTGCTTTTATAATACAAACAAAGCTCCTTTTTTCAAATTCTAAGCTGGCTGAAGCTTCCCCATATCCCACTCAGTTAATCCACTGAATAGACAGTAGATTCCTGGAAAAGGCAATGCAATGCAATATTTTTAAATGTAGTAAAACTTGATTTCAACAAAAAGATGCTGGAAAAGAAAAAGTTTCATTTGTTCAGTTAGATAGTAGAATTGGGTAATAATATCTCTTCAATCTATGCCATAGTGCTGGCAATTACCTTTACAAATTCCTAAAGTCAATAAATTTTTCCAAAACTTAATCACAAGTTGTCAGATTAAAGATAAGTCCAATTACTTCACCAAATAGCAAACCACACTATGATATGGCCTCGTACATGTCTTGCTTGAAACACTGCTTTTACTAAATGACAGGTAATAATTTTCATACCTTTTCTAGGTCGCTCACAACCCTGGATGCATCACTAACAGTGGACATTCTACGGGATTTCTCTGCCTTTACCCGGGTCTTCTGGTTACAGGAGCATGCTGGGACAGGCCTTGAATACCGGAAAAGCTGCACTACCATGAGATTGATTGGCAAGACCATGAGACTGCTGATGACCCCTGTGACGACCTGGCCAAAACTGAAGCTGATAGGTCCAATTACGTACACCACCTTCAAGATGACAGAGAGAAACATGATATCATTACATATTACATAACATCTGTTAAATTCACTTTACCTAGCAACAATGTGTTTATGATTGGTCAAATCATCATTGGGGAGGGGCTTCATGGGTGACTCAGGTTTTTGGTTGGTTCTTATAACCAGCAACTGAACTGAGAAGCAATTACTGCTGCGACGTACCACATTGGCTCCTTTGCTGGTATCAAATGCTTATTCAACCAACTTGTCAAAATGCTTGTGTGTCTCAAGTTTCCAGAGTCTATTCCATGCAATTCTTTCAATACAACCCTTGACGGTGCAACTCTGGTTCTCAATTAACCTATTTTGGAAATGTGGTTTTGGTTTTGCTTTTTGTTTGTTATGTCAATGTAAATTCCTAAATTCACAAACAAAAGTGCGATGTCATTTTGGGCAGAAAACCTCAATTTTATGCTGTATTAAAAACTGCTTGAATTTTTACATAACAGCAACAGTTCCTTCAGCTTTCAGAAAAGCATGGAACATTTAAATGCTTAAAAAGTGGATTTTTATAACATACTCAACCAAAAAAGGATGCCACATAGTTTTCATAAATTGAAGAGGTGAAAGTGTGACTAAATAACGTTTACTGCATGGACCTTTTAAAAATATATGCACATGAATGTGGTGTCACCACGGTGGCAGTATATACTCCAATTAGTCAATGTCTTTCCGTGAAACCAATGTCTGAGCAAGTTTGGAAATAGTCATAAAAAACCTATTCCTTGCCTGAGTGCCAGCAACCTCCTGGAAGTCGATGTTGTAAAAGAAGATGTTGGCCATCATGGTGCAGAAGAGCAGGGACAGGCAACAGGTGGCGCGCTGGACCCGTGTGAACTTGCTCTTGACTGGACGGGCAAAGACCGAGAACCAGATGTGAGCGTCACTCAGGTTGCGTCGGGTCTTGGAGAAGAACAGGTGACCGAAGCTTGTCAGCTCGCTGCGGCCGGCCACGGGGATGACCCGCTCAATCTACGCTCAAGAGAGCAAAGACATTTCTCCCGTGAGCACACCTGTTTCACTCAGGGGCATGTTGGTGAATATATGGATGCTAGCAACAAACTTTCTGTAAAATCTGTAACATGGATAAACTTGTCTTTATTTATGCAAGCAAGCAAAGACAAGCCTGAAACTGAACTTGACAAGGGTTGCACAATTGAACAGTAACTCCATTCTTGCACCCTCCTTCAAGTGGAACTTTCCACCATTTAGCACTGGAGGATGAGAAAACCTACAACTTTTGTTGTGACAGTTTCACTGAAGGCAGGTTAATAGGTTCGGGCTGTGTATGTTCACACCCGTGGGAGGCAAGTTAAACAAATTTCAAATTCCTTTTCAATCATTTTCTTTAAACAAAAGTCTGTGGAAGAGTACATGACCCATGTTGGTTTAAATAAATCACTCCGTAAATCCATACCAGAGTGTTGCAAAATATCATACAAATCTCGTAAAAACGAATCTCGGTTTATTTGTTTTGTCCAATGTAGTCTTAAAAAGTGACTGTGGAATCTTCTTTTAATAATTACTTTTCGGCTGAAAATAATACCATGCCTGAGGCCAGTTGATGATGAAATGATTGATTTGGCAAGGTGCTAGAAGAGGAGCAAATCAAAGAGCACCAATATGCTTTACTAAGGGACATCAAACATGCACCAAAATGGAAGAAATACCCACCATGCCATCGTCTTCCTCCACTGCCAGCCACCGGTTGGCCATGAAGTAGAATGTCCGGTCCAGGCACAGGTCTTTGATCATGATGCGGGCCAAGTACCAGGCTGGCCTCTTACCCTTGTTGTCGTGCCAAATGCGGACATGCATCAGGTTGCCCAGCGAGACGGGAGTGGCCAGCAGGAAGGAGTCTACCCCTCCTGCCTGGAAGACCTTGCGCTTGGGGTCATGCAGGACGCGAGGGACACTGTCGCCTAGCTCACCGCTCATTAAGAGGGTAACATTGGCGGTCGTGCCTGAAAGATACAAAAACAGAGTTTTGAAACAAGTCGTATCGTGACAAAAAGACGTACGACGCTAAAAATAATTGAGAACAAAGCAAAGAGATGAATGTAGGTATACGGACTGTCGCTATCAAAAGTGGAACCAGCATTTACATAAAATAGGGAACACCTGGCTTTTACCCCATACCCCATACTGGAGTAAAACCAAAAACACAAGCTGGACATACTTTTAGTGTCAATTTCTGAATGTCTTTAAAGTGACCAAGTAGCAAGTTGAGGACAAAAGAAAAGAAAGTTAACAAACAAATTCAACAGTGGGGTAGATCTGCTACTTGATTTGTGAATGAGTTGAATAATTGATATTTGGGAGTTTTCACAAATTTTAGTAGTTATCTACACTAAGCTTTCCTATTCTACATTCAAAACTGAGGTTCACTTCAAATCGTATATACCCAAGACATGTGGATTATGAAATTGCCTCCTCAGATATGGTTTCCCCGTGTCCACTTCTGTGATAAAAGTGAATGCATTTCTCATGTCCTAGATAATTTAGCTGCATTTTTGCAAGCTTTTATGTAATGCCCAGGGTCACCTCTCACCTTTTCACTCTTCCTGCCTTTTTATACAAACTGTTACCAAAATTTGAATTTAGAAGTCAGAAGTTCTTCAGTGAAAGGAAAACTTACATTCCTACGATGACAAAAATTGCCAAGGTTGTATAAAAAGAGGCATTATATGACCTGAGAAACAGTTCTGATTTGAATAAAAGAGAGGAATCGTGTTTTTGCAAAAAATCCGAAGGTATATAGAAAACTTGGGAATTAAAAAGTGATGTAAGTGAGGAAACAAACTTCCCACCTGCATTTCGTTTGAGTCCTGTGTAGACTGTTACTTCATAGAGGAAGCGATCATGGGGGTCATTGTCTGGTAGAGGAGCAATACCAGCCTAGATAAAATATCAGGAAAAAACACCAGTAAAATACTAAAAAAACACAGAAATAATCAGCAAGATGAAGATAGTAACACATCACCCATTTTTAAAACAAAAACTGAGACAATTTTTCTAGACGGTTTGGAGTTTTCCATCTATCCTCTGTGGCACATCAAACCATCCATACAAATGTACCCCCTTTCATTTTATTACTAAGTACCACATAAAAAATTGCTTAAATGTGGTTTGTCACATTACCTGAATTTGACCTAAAACCTTCAAGGGAGAACCAGCCTTTTAAAATCATTAGAAATTTCTTTCCACACCCGTACATAAAGTACTCGGGTGGGACTCAAACCCACGACTTCCTGCTCACTAGTGCAGACGTGCAGTCGTGGGTTCGAGTCCCACCCGAGTACGCTTGTGGGTTTTTTCACAAGCTTTCGGGGAACTCTGAGTATACAGTGTTTTTATACACGTCGGGAAGAGCAAAAAATCAAAAAGTAAATTAACATCTCCCCGACGCAGATCCATCCTTAGAAATAGTCTAAGTGGTATTGTAAACTGATTGCAGCATCAGCGACCTTGACTATGTCTCTCTTGTCGGCCTTCCGTGCCCAGATTATGACCAACAGGTAGAGCGAGAGGCAGCAGATCATGAAGATGAAGACCACGGGGTTTTCGTCCAGCTTGAGGAAGGCGGAGTCCGACAGGTCGATGTGGTTGATGGGGATGCGGAAGCCCCCTCCGAACATGGTCAGGTGGTCGCAGAAGCACTGGGTCAGCATGTCGGTGCTGTTCTCGCCAACCTGTGGGAGGGGGAGTGTTGTTGGATGCACAATCATGGGGCAGCCTTGCTTTTTCACAGTTTAAACCAATGTAACCAAACTAAGGCTGGAAGGAAAAATGGTCTGTACCCTTTTATCAATGTGAACTTGTACTGCTATTGCCAGTGGGTCTACAGGGAAAAAGACAAACATGGCAACATCATGATAAACGTTAATAAGTATTTGTGACTGGATCCAGCAAATGAGACCTAATCTCATTTTTTGAATTACACATTTTCAGTTCGCTTTAGAAGTACATCAAGCTTTTTGCTTTGATTTACCACCCAGTATGCTGTAGATATGTGATGACATTGTGATGGCAATTAATGGTTACTTTGTGAACCATGAAGGCTGATAGTTCCCATTGATATCTACTGTGCAAGACTCCCTTTGAAGCCAATGATTAAGCAGCGCTGGCAACTTTAACACAACTTGTTTTGTTGGGTTGGGCGATGCGGGTTGGACAACTGCTGAGCTTGTGTTATGAGGTATGAAATTCTTGAACATAGGATTCAAGGGGGGCATATAACAATGTGGCCGTTTCACAATAGTGCGCCACCAAGAGTTTGCAACGTGTTGGCCAATCACAATGCGTGAAATTTGTCAACCCAGTGGGCGTTTGGAAAGGGTCGACAAATTTCGCACGTTATAATTGGACAACGTGTTGCAAACTCTTGGTGGTGCACTGTTGTGAATCGCCTGTATTGGTTTACCACACAGCCATCAGTGGACCATTCACTTTCCTTATCCCCAATGGCCAGGCAGGAATACAGCGAGGAGGTGAGAGCATAGTACATGGGGTGGAAGCGGCTGGAATCCAATCCTGAGCCCGTCATGGGGTCAGTTTCTGCTGCCGAATATGGGCTCAAAACTTCATGGTTCACGCCGTAGTACAGAGAGAATGAGGCGTTATCTCTGAGGCTGAAAAGGACAAAAAAATTGAATCGTGGTAAAATTACAGAGCAGAGCCACTAGTTGGTTTGGTAATAACTCAGACAGTGGCCTGATACCAAATATTTCGAATGATATCTTTCTATCCACAGTTCAGAAATGCTTGGCTAACCCTCATACTTTATATTGGAGAGAAGGCAGCTTCATTCAGAGAGTGAGGTCGGCATTACACATATTAAATCATTACAAAGGAAACAAAAAGCTGCTTTTCTGAATTTGAAATTCTTACTTATCCAGTGTAGCACTGGCAAAGAAACATCTTGTCAGGGAGTCATTGGACAGGAAGGCATTGAATCCAAGGTCCCATGATGCATTGGTTGGGGTATAATCCTCTTCTACAATCACATGCTGTCGTAACGTACAGTTCAAATCATGTACGGCTAATAAATAAAATATGACACAAAACAGGAATTTACAAATGTTGACTGCAGATAAATGTTAATGAAGGATGACATGATAATAAAGTTGAACGCAGGTAAAATTGCAGTTATAACTCCACGCCTGAGTTTGTTAACGGTTATGGTTGCATTGATACAATTGTTGTGGGTATTATATGCCCACATGGTTTTTATGTCACCAAATCAAAAATGTTAACTCCCCCGGTCTCTTAATCTAGGCAGAGTGACGAAGCTGATCAGTTCAGTCTCGTGCCAATGCCGGCATGCAGACAGAGGTTTTTCCAAGATTAAAAATGGTCAATGACAATTAAGACCGACAGTTTTTCAGGCATAAGTGAGAAAGCCTTGAGAAAATTAGACACACTTTTGAGTCATCAAGAACAAGAAGAATCAAAAGACAGACAGGTACGACGGCGATGGCTTTCATTGAGCCATCCTGGTTTCAACGGTCAATCTTTGCTAAACTGCTATTACCACATAAAAGAACAAAGTTTAATGTAATCAACCAAGACTTCCCCATGCAGTCACAATGAATATAGTGCCAGGTATTGGCCTGTTATTTTATACATAGTAATATTCTATGCACAGTAGTATTCCATACATAGTAGTATTCTATGCACAATAGTATTCCATGCAGAGTAGTATTCTATGCACAGTAGTATTCCATACATAGTAGTATTCTGTGCACAGTAGTGTTCCATACAGAGTAGTATTCTATACATAGTAGTATTCCCTGTATATTAATAGTCTACATAATTAATAATAATTACTTGTTTGAAACAGAGGTACAGTAGGCAGCATTGTTACCAATTTCAAGGAGCTACCATGTACATAAATCTCTCATGAAGTTGTTAAGTTCATAAATCTTCCTGTGCTTTATGTACATACAGCCAAGGGATTTTTTGCTTGGCAAAGCTACTGAAGATTACCTGCATGTCCCATGACATAATTTATTCACACTCTCTGCCAAGTAGTTCTAGTACAGTCTGGGCTAGTTACCGAGAGATGGGTGTCCTCCCTGCCTGAAGAAGATGTAGAGGATGACGTCATATGCCAAGCCTTTCTGCATGCCATCAGTACCCAGTGACTTCACTTCCAGTGACAATGCATTGTTAGGTGGAATTTCTACAAAATAATTATGATGCAGTCAGGGCACGCATGAAAGTTAACAGCTAATTCGCATAATCTTCCCTTAAATACCATCACTATGACTGAAATCTCTTTGTTTGTTTAGGACAAAGTGCTTGAACTTTTATACGAGGGCAGGTGTGACAAATCTCTTTTCTAAGTGGGTGAATTTCTGAAAAGAGCCAGGGGACTTAATGTTTTGGATGGACTACTCTTGTCGTCTAGGCAAGAAGAGCATATTCTGTCGAAAACAATTGGCAGAGAATACACCTGTTTCACATGGTGCACCCATAAACTGATCCTGCTTATTTCACTACGCAAACCCTTCTGATCTTTCTCAACTCAAAAACTAGTGATACTCCTCTCACCAATTTGATGGACAACCATCTTGCCACCGACTGGTGCTGTCCGGTTGACATACACCTCTGCACTTATTGACGACCCGTTAGCGATGAGGTGCTCCTCCTTCCGAACGATGCTGATCTCAATGGGGCTGGCGGTGTGCGCGACTTGCATGGGCGACTGATCCGTGTCATTGATCAGTGTGAGGGACACCACCATGGACTTGACTTGTTGCCCGCTAGTTGCTAAGACCTTGGTGCTGCGATCCCGCATGATAAACTCAGAAAGGAAAGATTGTTACACACATCCATTAAATACAGGCCACGAAACACAGTTCCATCAATGTCAGTCAAAACAAGGTAACAAATGCATCCAAAGTTCTGATAGGTTTTTTGTTCGTATAATAACTTCTGCCAAGAAAACTATTTCATGTCGGTGCTTTTGACAATGTTGACATCTAAAAATAAAGGCTTTAAAAAAGTTGATTTAACACTTCAAATTTAACGGATTCAAGAAAAGTCCAATGCCCAGGCCCCATTTCATGGCCCTGCTTTAGCAGAGGAGCCATGCTTACTGTAGTATAAAATTTTGCAAAATGTTTCATGGCGGTGCTTGGCATAGTTGTGGTAACTCCTGAGTGAACACAGAGATTTCCACTGCTACGTCACAATTTAAAGTTCAGCAAATATTTCATGAGAGTTTAAGTTTACCTTTTGCTTTGCCTACTGCTAACAGTCTGCAAGAAGTACACAGAGCCACTGTAGCATAAAAACTGGGTGCTTAGCAGCACCTTGAAATTGAGCCTGGGCCTTTTTTAAATCAACTTTTGCTTACTGCATGATGATTCCAAAATTGCTCCCGGTTTTACACCTGCCAAAAGACAGATTTGCTCAGGTTGACTTACTTTTTGAGTAACTGCTGTATAGTTGTCGGTGTCTTGAAAGAGATCTTCATACAGTGGCAGGTTTACATAATTCCCGTCACCTGCGCTGAAATTTTCTGAAAGTGCAGAAGGGAACAATTTAATCTTCAACATAAAAAGATCCATCATTTTCTCAAATCTGGAAGTGCACTGATAAAACATGGTTGCAGGGCAAGAGGTGCAAAGCTGCTGGCTTCTTCATGGTGCGGCATAATTTGACTGTGTCCCTAGTGACACAAAGCGGAGGGAAGAGCCACTGATAAAAACAATTTCTGTGCCTGTACGTAACAACTCTCCGTCCATGCACATTATTCCTTTGTAAATGTACATGCAGATGCTGTGGATACTTGTCTAGCTAGCCAGCACCACCTTTTATCTCACGGACAGCCGTTGACGACCGCCTTGACAAAGACTAAATTTCCCGTCATGGTACTAACTGTTGCTGATCCACAGCACAGGGGACTTGGCCAGGATCAGTGTGGACTTTGACGACTGCACCTCAATGTCGTTCTGCCCCAACACCATCTTGGCCGATATGGCAGAAGCCAGCCGGTCAACCACTTCTTCCGATCTCTGCATGTTGACGACACCCTGTCAAAATAACATGAAGGGCAATGGCATAACAGGTTGCTGATGTGGCTCAGACAACGAACCCTGTAAGCATCAGGAACTTCAAACAAGATGGGCGTGGTGTGCAAAAATTATCCTGCCATTTGTGTGATATTTGCGCGTGTGAACCACTGAGGTCACGCTCCTTGCCCCCATCTCAATCATCCAGGAGGCCGGATCGTACAGGTGTTAAATTGACTTGATGCCATTAGACCATTAAAATTAGCCTACAACACAGTTATTTCTCTAAATCTGTTACTTTCATGAGCATTATAAACATTCAATTTGAAATCTGTTTCATTCTAAGAAATGAGTCACTGACCTATCTCGTACACATTTTTCTCCATTTTTAGATACATCCTACTCCCAAATTAACTACCTTGCTTTTACTTCTCATATTAATCCACTGGTCCTTTTTCAAACACTGATCATTCAGCCAATATGCCTATGAGCTCCACATAAAAACCTTTTCACAATAACCAGCAAGATGAACGAGAACTACTGGTATGCACTTGTTACACTGAGTGTTTTTTGCTCTTCGTCGGCACGTGCATGCTCAAACATTGTCCAAAGGCACGTGGAAAAATGCATGAGCTTCCTCCCATAAGAACTGAGCCCCACAACCAACTGCTTACTAGTGCATTCATCTCTCCACCACTGAGCTTTCAGGATTTGCTAGGCAGTTGAAGTCAGTGAGCAGTGGGTGCAATGCCAAACATTGTTGAAGATGAAATTTGTTTGTAAAATTGAAAACTTAAACAAGACTTACCTTTAAGCAAGATCTGATAACATCTCAGAGCTAAGATAAATATAGAGAAACAGCTTCTGACTGACAGGAATAGGTGGTGCCCTCTCATGGAATACCAGAGTATTTAGGAGTGAAGGGAAATTAACATCTCCCTGGTGTAAAAATTACATCTTGTGCATATGTGCGAATGAGAAGAATTTCAAGTTCCAAGTTCACTTACAGGGCCATTGGGTTCTTCCTCAACCTGTGCGGTGTGGGTAGCTTCTACAATGTTCTCTGGGACAAAATGGAAGCAATGAAAACACATCGAAGGCACAGGAACCAAGGATATCAAGACTGCAGCTGACAGCACGTTTACACACACTGTTCTGCTTATCTTATGATCGAGCTGAAACTAAAATATTTGAACTCAGTCTAGCAGTTGCTGTTCTGTACTCTATGCCATGCACATATTTTTGTATGCAAATACAGCACAAGATGACAATAACGATATCGGGTACATGATCCCTCCATCCTCCAAGTAAATTTATTTTTCAGGGACAATGCCAGTGTCTATTTCCTCAATAATTTATGGCAGACAAATGTCTCTGCCAACGTAACACAGAAATAAGGCGCAAGAACAGCAAACGGCTACTCTTGTTAAACATATATCTAATAAGACAGTGAAGAACAGAAATATGTGAACATGGACGTATACGGCCTGCCCCTTCCACATGAAGGTACTATCACTGAAAACAACTGGCTGCTGCTGAAGGGGCTACGGCTGGCCATCGAGTAAAAAAATTCCACAAATATGAAACAAACCACTGAGTGATAAAAAATCCCCGGATCAAAACATCAAACACTACTTCCAATTATTCACTGAAACTTTATTTTTACCCTCTTTAAAAGTAATGGGCCAAATCTGAAACAAACTAAGGGCGATATTTTTGTAAATGTTGGCCGCCCATATTTAGCAGGCATGAGGATGGCTATATATGATACGAAACAGCACCGTCATCTTAAAAATGGTGGAGAGCCTTTACTTCAATCTCCAAACCAACCGTGTTTAGGTCTTGACACTACTGTCCCCTCCTAGCCATGACTGGATATGACTATCTTTGACACTATCTTACCGACCACCTCCATGCACACTGCTGTAGCAGACTCTAACATCTCCACACTGATGGGATCGTTGGATTGCGAGTTGTTTTGCAGGACCTTGCTGTACCCCTCCATGGACCCAAGGAGACGGGTCTGTGTAACCGCCCGAAAAAAGGTGAGTTTGAAATTTACGTATTGTGCGGCAAACGCAGATATGCGTGAACAACGAAATCGCAGCCATTACAGGACTCATAATAGACATTTGTCATTTCACACCAAAGACACTTCACAAAAGATACTTCACAAACTCTTTATGTGCATTTTGCTGTAACTGTGGGACATGTTTCAACACTTCTCAGCATGTCACAGAAAGGTTTACAACTTGCGGATGGCATTATTCTACAACTATCTTGTCCAAGAGGTGGTACTATTTTTGACCCAAAATACTGACTTTTTAATATGACAAGATGCCGAAACGAAAGTCCCCTACAAAGTTGGACTTTACACATGTTGACCCTTGGTGGTCACTTGTCCAAGATTTGTGCCTTTCCTGTTTAACACTCCAAGAAAATTATGTCGCAGGGAGCCTGGTGGTGGCAGACAGACACACGAGGGCTCCACACTAGCCCATCAGCCTCCATGGACAGTATCTGCTGTGATGTGCTTACATGTCCACCCACTGCATCTGATGAAGTAGTTTTTGGTACTAAAACTTATGCAGTATCTAATGTTAAGTTAGTCAATAAAGTGCCACCCCATATTTTCCAATGTCCACCCAGGTAATACGGGCAATTCACAATAGGGCGCCTCCAAGAGTTTGCAATGCGTTGGCCAATCACGATGGGCAAAATCTGTCCACCCAATGCACATCTGGAAACGGACGACAGATTTCAAGCATTGTGATTTTTTTGGCCAACGTATTGCAAACTCTTGGAGGTGCACTACTGTGAATTGCCCGCATTGTCAGGGATAATACTTATGTATTTCACACGTCATCCAGCATTATACTTAAGGCATGCTGCTGCAACTTTGTAAACAATTTTCAACATCTACATAATACAGATAAAAATGATAAAAAACAAATATGGCATCACTGCTACAATGTGACAATTGCCGATTGATCACAATGCTGTACAAGGCTGTAACAATGCCAAGTCTATACTGGCTGCCTACCCTAGCCTCCTGTGTAACCTCTTCAGGTATCTTGGTGACCGCTGCCATGGCAGACGACAGTTGCTGCACTCCTTCCACAGTACTGACTTGAGTGTCCGACAGCAATCCTGCCATGTTCTCTCGCATCTGGTAAAAATCCAGACGAAACAGATCAGAATCCGTTTGGAATCAGATTCCATAATGACCACTCGCCGTGTTTCCTCAACCACGCGCTGATGGGTCAGGCCTATTCCACAATGAACTTGTCCCAGGTGTATTCTTTTCAGAAAACATACAAACTTTATAATCAACAAGTAACCACAACCACAGGTAAAAGTTGGACTTTATAAATGCTGACCACTGGTGGTCATTTGTCCCAGATTTCTGTGACACTTCTTACTGCGTCACTACTTTTTAGAAACCCTGAGACAATGTCCCAGAGTGTGGTTTGCTACAACATCCTGGCCTGCCCTGTAAATGTACAAATGCAATGGGAATCCCACAAGCGACTTTAGATTCAATTACCGCCTCCATCCATCTGGGTGATGGGCACAAAAAATCACAGCTGGTTTACACATCATCCGACTTGATGTGGTTAATCAACAGTGTTGTAGTCGAGACCACTTTAGACATTAACAAGACCACACAAGACCAACACAAGACCTCTAGTCAGAATTCAAGTCACAAACTATTCAAACGAACTGCAACTAAAGTATTCCTTTGTCATTTTTCACACGGTTACTTGTGATGGTCTCGACTACAACATTGTTAATCAAGCATTAAATTGACAAATTCCAAATCTTCCACTTTACACAGACTTACTGAAGGAGATTTTATACAATAAGACCAAACAAATACATCACCTTGATCCTTTCTTGAGAAATGTCGGAGTCTACGTCCTCTGTACAAATAAAGGATAATAAATTTTCATCAGTTTTATTTGTACTGACAGAGACAAATATTTTCTTGCACGCAAGGGGCAAGGGCTCTGCACAACTATTCCATTGTAGAGCATTCTGCAGTCAATTTTTGAACTGCATGAATTTTGTCACATACATGAACAATGCATTCCATAGCAGGTTTCACACTGCAGTGCAGGCCACTTTCATGTTACCTACAACTTGTTTGGGCTGCCAAAATTTGCAGAAATATCCCCTTTCGGTTGGTTTTCGATGTTACCTCAAATTCATTCAGAGAGACATTTGTCCCATCCATTTTAAAGATGGTTGTATTTTCATTTAGTACTATGTGTATTATTATTTGGTGTTCCGATAGCTGTGTGGAATTTTTAACACATTGTGAGTTATACTTTTACTTTTGTATTGATGGCCAACCATAGTTGTAGCAGCCAACTGCAAACCCTTTTCTGGTGCTTCTATATTATGCTATCAAATTTAGTAGAAACAAATGGTGTCTATCACCGCAATCAGTGTCACCTTTAGACAAATATTCAATTAAACAGTGGGCACTTAAAAGTCTTTTCGGACCTAATTTGAGGCTTCATTGTAAAACAAAATGCCTTCATTTTTGCTGTTTTGAATGAAAATACATCTGTGGATGTGTAAACCACGTTCTGAAAGGAATGTTTCATGGTAAAGTGGAACCCTTCAGCTTTTTAAGAAACTAACTTTCATAGAAAGGATTTGAAAAGTGTTATATTTTGCAGGTCTATGCCCTGACATGTTGTTCGAGCAACATTTTGTAGTTCTGTGATATCAGCTGCACAACCTTTAGCACATTTGATAAAAACTGATGGTGTTAATTTCCTTGTAAAATGATGTTACACTTTATTTACATGTGCACTTTCTTATAGCATCAAAGTGGGACGTGATCCACCGAGTTCCCATAGGAAAGCTTGCACATGTCAACAAACCGTAACGCTAGTGTTTTCGGTCTATTAAGCTTAGACTTTTCAAAACTTGAAACCTTTATGACAAGAAAAAATCTTGGGCTTCAACTACAATAAGGAAAACACATCTCAGGACAATGTACTTGGTTCTAACCCTTGGAGATGGCTAACTGCTTTTTAAATACCGACCTGTATTTGAGCCACTCGATCTGTTGTTCACAGCTTCTGTGTTCAGGAAATCTGCTGTAGCAATGACAAGGTTGGCTGCCGATTCCTTCTTGGCGTCCGCAAAGAGAGTCTCCATGCTGGTTTGAATACTTCTGAGTTCGCTGGTAACATCCGTGCTAATGTTAGGTGGCTTAACCTTTAAAATGAATCGGGTTTTCACACTTATAATTGCTTCAATTAATTTACCGCAGCCTTGCTCTACATTACATGACGTAGTCACCCTGTAGGGCCAACAAAAACTTGGGGGTTATAAAAAAAATACGGACGCCTACGGACAAACAGTGTACATACATGTAACATATCCCATCAATGTATTTTTCAGGGGGAAAAATAAAATCTGACCCCTCCCTAATATTGTTCAATCAATTTTTCTAACAAGAGAACAAATTTTTCTGCAAACTGAAATTACTATTTCACTATAAAACACAGATATAGCTGCACTCATAACATTTATGAGTGAAGTTTGCTGTTCTTAACCACGAGAAGCCACCTACCCAGTTTAGAATGGCTGACTTAACATGAATGTTAAATGGTTACAAGCACTATGGAATTGGTACCCGTGCCTATGGCAAAGTAGGGTCCACAAAATGCTGGAGCCTAGAAGCCTAGAGAAAACTCTATCCTGCCTATGGCAAAGTAGGGTCCACAAAATGCTGGTGCATAGGAGCCTAGAGAAAACTCTATCCTGCCTATGGCAAAGTAGGGTCCATAAAATGCTGGAGCCTAGAAGCCTAGAGAAAACTCTATCCTGCCTATGGCAAAGTAGGGTCCACAAAATGCTGGAGCCTAGAAGCCTAGAGAAAACTCTATCCTGCCTATGGCAAAGTAGGGTCCACAAAATGCTGGAGCCTAGAAACCTAGAGAAAACTCTATCCTGCCTATGGCAAAGTAGGGTCCACAAAATGCTGGAGCCTAGAAACCTAGAGAAAACTCTATCCTGCCTTGACTCTGCGGCAGCCTTAAAAAACGCTTCAACATTTGCAACATAAGATTAGAAAACGGCCCGTGCAAGAGAAAGGGGATTCCATCCTTTGAAATAATTCGATTCTCGGAACTGATTTATTGGCAGTCATGAGCTGCACAAATAATGGGGCTCGCATTAACATTGTCTTGCTAAGCACTGTCAGAGCACACGGTAATATTGCCTAACAAATATGCAAACATAAAAAAAGCTGTATAACCAAATCAATACACAGAATCTGTGAGAATTTGAAAGGTGCTAAATATTACAAATATTACTCCCTCCTGGTGTATAATCACAAATTAACTGTAGGCCTACATACCTTTACTTCCAGGTAGGTGGTCTCGAAACAGCCCCAGCTATCAGTTACGTCGATGGTGATCTGCACCGTGCAGTTGTTTTCCGGAAGGCCCTGATTTAGTTTGGTCGGCTGAACAAGTCGTGGTTTGGTGCCTTTTTTGAAAACAAATGCAATGTTCTTATAGACAGGCGTGCAACCCGGACTTTGACAAAACGTGGAAATTCTAATCTTCACAAGACCTTGTACGGTGTATTTCAATTTTCAATAACTTGAGTGTGAAGTAAAATCAGCTGATCCCAGGAAAGGTTGCATGCCTGTATAGAGTGGGAAAAGCTCTAGTCTGTTGTCATTTGCACATAAATTTTTTAAAAATATCATCGGATTCTAAATTGAAAAAAAAATCTACTCCTACTGTTGTAGTCCAGACCCTCACAAGACCAGACATCAGACTGCAACACCAGTCACAAGACCAGTCACAAGTCACAGTGTGACTAAGGAAGGCGTTTGTTGCAGTTCATTTGAAGATCCTTCACCTTGAATTCAGACTGGAAGTCTAGCATTAGTCTTGTGATGGCCTCGTGGGTTCTTATGATTGTCTTAAGAGGTCTCGACTACAACACCGTCTACTCCTGCCAGACATGTGCTAATGGACAAAACAGTTCACGAACTGGCGGAGTTAAAGAACCAGTGCTTACTTGCATGAAGAGTTCGCATAGAAGATGCACTGGTGCCGTTCACTTTGAATGTATAGGATAGAGGTAGGTCTTCGGGTACATCAACCCAGCCTTCACACCAGATGTCAAAATCTGTTGTGAGTACTTGGCCCTCTTTGGGAGTGACAGAGCAGGTACCGCTGCTGGGGCGATCATTGACCAGTACTTCCTCCACAACTGATCCTGAGGAAGAGACGAGTAAGACAGACTATGCAAAAGCCAAGGGCGACCACAGAACCAATTTGTTTTTAGTTTGGGGTTTTTTTTTGGAGGGGGGCCAAATCTGTTGTTTTTCGAGGGGGGGGAAATAATTTTGAAATTTTTCATGCAGCCTTTTATGACTTTGCTAAGGATGAGGTCTTATTGGGGCCTTTTTACATGCCTCTGGAATGAAGGGAAATGAAACATGCTTATGGCTCCCCCCCGGCCCTTATCGCTCTTCCCCATCCACTTTTGACAGAAGCTGACATTCCATAAAGCATTTTAATTTTCAAGTCAGCACTGACAACGAGAAATCCCTCGTGTTTTGCTTTACTGTTGTTGCTGTTGTCCCACTTGCATCTCTTGATTTCTTCCCATTTTTGAATTCAAGCACAGCACTTGGACACACAAGGCTGCTTCAGAGCATGTCACTACTTGTGTTAACACGAGTAGTACACTTCCAAGCTCAAAAAAATAAGCAAGAGTACAACTTAACGGTGAGTCTACTTTCATCAAGACTCTTACACCTTTCGGTTATTTAGTCAGCACAATGTGCCATATTGTTTTAGGATTACATGCACTTATTTATATTCAATTCAATCAATCCAGTCCTGTTTCAAGGTTACCTGAATTGGAAAGATCTGGATTTCTGGACCCAATCAGCTTCAAGCGGTACTTCATCTTTTCTTTGAAGAAGCCTGGCTCAATGACAAAGTTGGCCCGGTCTGGTGGTGTCCTTGCAAATTCTATCCAACTGTCTTCGGGCTCCAAGTCCCACTGACCACTGCTCGACTGCGAATAGATTTCCCACCTAGAATTACATTTTTTAGGGGGGAGAACAGTGTACTTTGTATTGACTTTACTCAACCTTGTTACCCTGACAAGTGAGCACAACTCCTGCAACCGTTATTTGTCAGAGTGATTCTGCAAGACTTTAGCCCGCTACATCTGGAGACCTGTCTAAGTAGAGGCCTACTTACAACCAATCTAACAAAAGCACATTTTCTTCATTTGAAGAGCTTACTTGTAGTACAGACTGAAGAAGTTGTTTCCACCAAAAGCCTCCTGCGACTCCAGTGAGTAACGATTGGAGGGGTTCAGTTTCTTCTTACAGTTCACCTTGCAACTTTAACGAAGAGAATGACAAGGACATTTATCAAAAACTATTCCCTCTACAGTGATTTATTTCAATTCACGGACGTAACTAAAGGCCCTGTCCAAAATACATGTACCTGGCTGTGGTTCGAAATTATACACAAGTCCTTGGGAATTGGCTGCAGCCATTACCAAAGACTTGTGCCATTTCAAGCCACAGCTGAGTAATTTGGACAAAGCCCCAGTTTAAAACCATTTCTGGAAGTTAAAGATACTTTAATGCCTTCCCAATCCATTCCCAACATTGAGTGTGTCTTTCTTTCAAGTTTTTTCATGAATGCAATGGTAAAAGCAACTTCTTGCCCAACTGAAAAGGTCCAATTCCTTTACCTACAGAGACCAATTCACTCACCCATTGGATCCAATTCACATATCAATTGGATCCAATCTACTTACCAATTCAATAACCATTTCCAAAACGTATTGCTTTTGCTTGGAATCAATTGGAATCCAATTGGGTACCTCACAACCTACACAACCTACCTCAAGTGGAGCAGATTGCAGTCCAGTCCATCACAAATCCTTTCACAAGTCCCTTCACAAGACAGGTCATAAGTACACGTAACAGCAAACAGTGACAAAAGAATCACTTGTCCTAATTTACTTCAATAACTTGTGAACTGGCTTCAGACTGAATGACTTGTGATGGACTCAACTACGACACTGTTGTGGGCATCTCTGTAATGAAGAAATCTTGGCGAAATATTCATCCTTTAGGCACTGTGAACACTCTGTTGAGTTGATGGTTTCCATGACGGCTTCTCTTCCATTTTATACAATAACCCTAACCCCCTAATGCCCCTACAAGCCCCTGACAACTGTTTTGTGGAAAGGGAGTAACCTCGTGTTTGTACAACCAGCATTACCGGTACGGTTGGCACGAGTGTCAAACACTTTTGAAAGGGGAGCCTGAAGTCTGCAAAGGCCGTCAAAACGCCGGCCTCTGTGATGAAATAGATTAAGACAGTGCCTAAAAAGGTGGCCATGCATCCCCATCCCCACTAATTAACGGCCATGCATCTACAAGATGTAAAGAAACAGTGAAGCATTTATCCTATTCTTACAATGTTTGCAGTATCGGTGGTCTTCCCTCCTTGACATCCAGAATTTGTGTGTCTTCACCCACTCTGTTGCCTTTGATGACAGCAACTTTCAGCTCGTATTGCATATTATAGTACATCGGTACAGTGCTGAATGTGATCCTCCCCGTTGTGAAGCTCAGTTTTCCTGCCAGAACAGTTTTTATTCCATGCTTTATATATCATTCAAATCTCCCATTGAGTTCTTTTGAGAGCCTAATAGAGTCCACGCAGTGCAAGTAATCCAGACATTGTCTTTGTCTGAGGGTTTGAATGCAATTGTAGACATTGAACAAGAGGGCAAATATAGGTCCATGACTGGGCCTGTTGCATGTACAGTTGGAGATGGCAAAGAAGTGAGCCACTACGGAGTGAATTAGTCATACTACCATAACACAAGTAAAAATTGTGAACATTCAACCAATGCATGGGAAAAGGGGCCAGACTTCATGGGGGCTGAATTTCATGTGACTTCGAAAAGTGTTTTTATCAACCAGCCAGTGCTTTATCAAATATTTAAGACAACCACATGACAGGATCTCGACCAAAAGGAATGGCTAAACTGTCTCAGGCATTCATGAATGCCGATTTACTCCATTATCTCAGGCTGTTGAAAAGTCCCTCTACCATGTCTACCTTTCAGTTTTCCATCAATCATGACATAACAAATGTTATTAGCTTTAACCCCCTGCACACCACTGCAATTTTGCATACTTCAGGAGTTCATCCCGGAATGTTTCAAGCATACTTCATCTCTTTTATTTCACCAAAAGCTGTCACAGGCAACATGCGATAAGCACTGTTTTGTATTAATGTTTCTTTCGAATGACTTACCACCAGGTTTTGGTATATTAGCCTCTTGGGACAAGCCAAAACATCCTCCACGATCCACTATACCTTCCGCCAGAGCATCGCTTGCATCAATTTCATCATTTTTGTTGTCTAGGTCATCTTTTTTGAGGCTCTCATAGAATCTGTCCCAAACCTCAAAGGGTTCTATGTTATCAGTTGTGTTTCCAGTCCTAGTGCTGTAGTAAGACTTGCGGCGACACAGCCAAACAAATTTGAACTCGTTTGGATTGGGACTGCCACGGGGGACGTCGGGATCATATGTCAGCCGCTCCGCATCCAAGGTGATGGTGTTGTTGTGGCTGATAGTCCGCACTTCTCCACCGTAGATGTGGACTTCCAGAGGGGAGGGTTTCACCCGGATGTACGTGGAGTCGATGGCAAAAATCGGCGGGTATTCCTGGTACATGGACACATTGAGCTCAAAGTGATACCAGCCATATCTCAAGGAGGCTGGTTTAATAGTCAAACTTCCAAGAGAGAAACCGGCTGTAACGACGTCATCGGGGAGATCATAGACTCGTCCCTCTGTCCTTGGGTTGTGCCCCAAGAAAGAAATGGACCAATCATACCAAGCCTTGTTGCTGCTTTTGCAGTTCAGTGAGACGTCCGAATCCACGGTGATTTGCGAAGAGGCTAGGTAAACACGGAAATATGTGTTTCTGGCACATTTGTAGAGAATGCCATCACACAAGTTGGATTCATTCACAGACACCTTTGGAACGAAGCAGTCAGGCTTGGCGACATACTGAGGCAGGATGAAAGTGGACTCTGACACAATGTTACTGCCTGTCACCGAGACTTTGTAATTACCATGGCGATCATAAATGTTTGTCACGTTAAAATTTCCTAACCTGCTCTCTTCCCACATTCCAAGAAGGTCTAGTGGCTCAAAAATGAAAGGATACTGTGAATAACTGATTTCTGTCCGATAAGTTTCCCTGCAGACTGTCTCAGATCCAAAGAAAATAACTGGGGCTATTTGCGAGTCTTGGAAATCGACTCGGTAGCACGCATCCATCCCCAAGAGGGATGTCTGCACTTCAAAGTACATTGTCACATTGCTGGTTTTGTCGCCAATATCGAGGAGAGTCAGCATGACGTCCCTTACAGGGACTTGCACATGGATGGTTATGTTGGCCACCATGTGAGATATTGGGTTGGATACATTCAGAGTGATAGTGTATATCCCTGGGTCCCTGTACCAGTAGATCTCCCGGGGCTCATGCGTCACGCTGTACTGGCTTGGAGTTTCGCCAAAGTCCCAGGTGAAGGTGAGGTCGTTGCCAGACGCAAACGTGGCGATGAGGACAACTGCACGGTCAATCGGAATATACAATCCATCGGACTCAAAAGGCTCCTGGTCGAAAGTGGGATCACCTTTGCTGATATTGCCCCCGGGGAGATGGTTGTACTTGACGAATGTTTCCAGGTCAGAGATTACCTCATAAATCCAGAACTCGATTGCAAGATCCATAGAGCTTACTGGGTTGGCAATTCTGGCAGCCATGGTGAACTTCCCAGTTTTGTTGTATGTCATGGGAAAGCTGGCCACATGAACCGCTGTGTCTGTGTTCAATTCTGGTCTGCTCATGACTGTCGTCGCCAGGGCATAGACGGATGACTCCCCATCATCGAAAATTATACTTACGGTGGCATTATTTGGCAGGTTAATGCTCTTCTCAATGTACAACAAGAACTCTATGGTGAGAGTACTGCTTGGAGGAAGACTATTCAGGATTGGCATTTGCAAGAAAAACCCTTTCACCCTGTAGAACAACCTGACAAGCTCCCTGGCTGATGCTGTCCCTAAACTATTTATCGCATTCACCTGGATGTGAAGTTCACCAATAGCCCCATATACATGTGACACCTGTATTCCTCTCTTTTCGCTGAACTGCGAAGTTGATGTACCATCCCCAAAGTCAACTGTGAATGTAATTCGTGAGCCCCAGGACACACTTAGATTAAAGTGAAGCTCTTCATCCACGACAAGATCAAACCCATCAACGGGCACAATCTGCAAGTTTTCAATAAGTTCGTCAACTTCCACTGATAATCCAAATTCCACTTCACTAACAAGGTTGGAGACTTTGACATGGCCATTATACAAGCCATGCCCTGGTACTTGCAACATCTGAGTAATAGGGTAGAGACCAGTGTTTCCGGCATCTAAGGTTTGGTTTTCATAAAAACCATCTTGAAAGAAAAATGCTGCTGTTGCATCTGTTGGTGGCAAGCCACTGCTCCCATCACGGATATCAAATATGAAAATGATCTTAAAGGCACCCCCTTCCTCAATGCCAATGACATCTCCATAAATGGGCTTGTCCAGCGACAAGAATGTCACTGGGTTCTGCACCCTGACTTCTGCACTGTAACTGGCACTGCTGACGAGATTCTGAACGTGCACCTCACTGATGTACCTCCCAGGATTGGAAAAGACATGGCTGACGTTGCGCTTGTCACTGCCCCCAAAAGGAAAACAAGAGGAAAGCCCAGTCTTTGGACTGCTACCGTCTCCAAAGTCAACTCTGTAGTTGACATTGGACCCTTGTGTGAGGCCAAAAGCAATGTTGAGACTGAATCCAGTGGGAATGGTATAAGCTGGGGAGAATTCTACACTCAGATTCCTGCTGTCAAATGGAACCTCAATTGTGATACTTCTCACCACTGCAGCTGGTCCACTGATGTCATTGTAAGCCGACAATTCAATGCTGTATTCACCGTCTTCAAAGTATTCTGTTTGATAACCCAGCATGCATTTGCCAGCGAGGTAGGTAGTGATGCAGGTGCCACGTATCACATGACCATCAATAGTCAAATCTACTACGATGTCACTACCACTCATGAATTCATACACCAGGAAGATGTCGTCGCCAAATGTCTGCGGTGGGACATCAAGAACGTTGAACTCAGTAATCACAGACTGGATGATGAGACTTGTGAAAATACGCATGTTGCTCACAAGGTTGAAAATGTGGAGAGAAACGCTGAGATTACCATGACCATCTGGGTAGAAGGTGGTCACACCCATCAAAGCTGTGGGTCAGAATGATGTAATTGTGGGACTTTTACATTTATTACAAAACAATTTGCAATAGGTTTTAAAAAAAAAATCAGGTATGATGGGCACGGGGAAAAACAGTGGTATATAGAATGGGAAGGATTTTTACCTAATTTAAAAGAAACACACTTCCATAATCAAATTTAAAGTCCCCTAAATCTGCACGAAAATCACATCAGTAGCTGCAATAACAAGATATGACTTTGTTGAAAAATAACGAAATTGTTTTGAAATTCCAACCATCAAATACACATGGCGCTAATGACAGTGTCTTTTTGAAATACAAAATCGAAGTTCATGGTTTATTCATAGCTTAATCATTCTGTAGTGAATTTTGGGCCAATTATGATGTATTACAGAATCTCATTTTCCTGCAGGTTTAATGCTAACAAATTCCGCTTTTTCGATTCCAAACTGGGCAAGAGGAAAGTTTCCGTATGTTGCATAAGCTAATAACAACACAAGACTATTCGCAAAACGTTAGCTTAAACAAGATCTACATTTTTCAAAATACTTCCTGGTCCAATAGTCAACGGAAGGACGAAAATATGAAGATCTGTGCACACATTTGATTTAAACCTCCATTGTGTTTTTCATCAAAAGCAAAAGATGCTCATGCTTATAAAAAAAATTAACAGCTACATACCATTTTCTGACATCTCAATTCTGAAGTTAGAGAGTGCCCAGTCTGAGGTAGGCAGTGAAGGAACGTATACCCCACTGCCCCCAAATGTCAAGTTGGTGAGGGATCCTCCAAGGTTCCAGTCAAATTCAAACACATATTGAACATCCGTTCCTTCGAAAACAAATAACAGAAAACTGTGACAACTGAATGAATATTATTCGGAACTGTATTCTCTGGTAATGAGGTGGCTTTCTTATCACTCCCACCTGAAAAAGTTTCAGCCAAGATTCTGATGATAACGAAGATTCCAATTTTAAAAGAAAAGTATTCTGCTTTCCTTTAAAGTTTGTAGATTAAATTTTGTCCAACAGCGTTCACCCAATGTAGACCCTAAAAAACAATCAATGAATGAATACAGAAAGTGCTAGATGCATATCACTGAAGAGTTAGACTGGTTCACTTATTACAGCATACACAAAGCAGAATGCCTTGTCTTTTACACCTATTAAATATGTCAGGTGCATTTCATTTCTCTGAGCACTGTCAACTGCTGAGCATGATCTTCCATTGGTCACTACAAACAGACTTCAAATGCTGCAAATGTTTAGAGTGGAGTGGAGCCCCTGTTGAGCCCAGTCGGCATGAAAGCAAACATGAATGCAAATATGTGATGTCGGAAGACAATATTTGTTCTGCGATTCCCGGACGTTAACACCATTTCCACTTAGGCAAATTTGACTGCAAACGCTTCGTGTCAAATTAGCTTCTTTTTTGTGTTAGCCTGAAGACTGACAGTAATGGTACAACACCCAACTCAACTGTGCAAAATTTTTTCGAATATCTTGATTTGTTGATCACCAAATTCAGTAAAAGTAAGTCACTAATCACAGTGAGAATGAGTAGGAAATCTCAACACCTGAGCACAAATTCAAAAGAAACAGCCAACTATGATCTTCGCAGAGATCACAGAAGAGAAACTAATGTTTTACCATTGTCAGCACGCCACTTGAGAACTGCTTCACTACTGAGTGGGATTGGATTTCCAAGTCCTGGAGTGGTCCAGTTGAGGCCAAGGATTCTCTCCTGAACTATGATGAGTTTCTGTAGAAAAGTACACCACAAATTTTCTCATCAAATTGAGGAGCAGTTGCTCGCTGTTGTTAATGAAAATTGTTACTCATTTGTTCTGCGCTTATTTTTCGTTTCAACAAAGTCATCATGACTTAGATCCATAGCTGAATAACAATCATTCATAAGTACGATGGGTTCTCAAAGTGATCTCATTAAACACTTCATGAATGTGAGATAATGGAACACATCCCTTTGAAGAAACCAACACCTTATATATTTGATCCCTGGATATTTAACTTCTTTCTGCTATTTGGTTTTTATGTCATAATAAATGTATTGGTTTTGAATCACCTTAATTTTACAATACAGTACACTGCATTTGAAAGATTAACACTGTGAATCGGAGTGAAAAACTTGAAAAGAATTCACTCTCACAGTTACATTTGTATTCCACAAGGCATGAAAATAATGTCCCATTGCTTAAAATTACAGCTACGGTAAACTGTCATGACAGATGCAAAGCATTCAATCAATAACGGGTTTGTTTCTAACAATCATTTGCAGCATCTGTCCTTAGTTAATGCTTTCCATAACAAATTTTAGATCAATCCCAGTTCTTTGTGGAAAGAGCCGAGCTCCTCTGGCAATTCCCAAGCACATATTACGTACTGTCTCAGACTCGGAGTTGTAATAGTTGATAACCCTGACAGTGACGTTGTAAATGCCGGCAATCTTCCACTGGTAAATAGTTGAGTTCTCGGTGGTGTTGTAGATCGTCCCATCGCCCATGCTCCATTCTACAGCGACTGCCTTGCCATCATAATCAACTTCCAAGCCAACAGTCTCATACGTCTCAGCTTTGAAGGAAAGAAAGGAATAATGAAAGTACATGCAGCTGGAACATTTTAGTACTGTGAGAAACACTACTCGAACAGCAATTGAAAGATAGTCCAACTGCTCCTGTATGGTAAAGTCTCGCAAATACAGAAAGTAGTGGTGGTTCTACCATGTGACACTTGGACTTAAAGCTCAAAAAATGAAAATGAAATGTGAAAAAAACCCACAAACTGGTTCAAACGTTCCAATACCATCCAGCCACGATTCAAATTTTGGTATTCTGGTGCCTGGGGTGCAATTTGTGATGAAAACTCAACTTTTTTTCAGAACCGAAAGAAAGGGAGCTGTAAAATGCAATGAAGAATGCTCATAAATGCTACCTATTACCAGATCACAGTCGGGCGAGTGACAGACCTCACATATGCGGCAACTGAAGTGCAATTTCTTTTCCCTTTGTTTCAAGAGCATAGTCACATTTTTTAATGAAGGGTCGAAGCCAGTTCATACTTCAAGAGAATCTCAAGTCACAAAACATTTACACCGATATTCGCTTGAGTTGAATGTGTCAAATTTTTGCGAGTTTGCTACACAAATAGTTCATCTGATATCACACATTACACAAGTATGAATCAGCCTTCAAGTACGTTAAAAACTACATGTATGAAATACCCTGCTTAACCCCTATGGGAGAAAGTGATGCAAAATATCTGCACATGTGCACCAAGGTAATAAAATTCACATTTTACAAAACAATGCCAATATGTGCAAGTATTTGTTCTTGAGTCCTTACCTATTCCGGTGACTGTGAGCGTCACATTATCGATCACATTTGAAACACGGATAGATGTGGCCAATGTTTTACTGCTCACAGCATTCTTGGCTGACAGTGCGATGTTACGGGGTCCTAACGTGCTATTCTTGGCATACATTCCTTTAACGTGGAGCACTGACGGCTGCACTGCAACTGCACGGTAGAGATACTGTCTGGTACTAGGGGAGGGATTGGGAGACACAGAAATTGCTCCACTGTCCTGAAAGTAAATGTCACCATCAGTGGCAACTTGAGGTTGAATGTGACGAATCACACTGATTCCCCGAGACAGGAAACCGACCAGGTCTCCTGCCTGTAGCTCCAACCTCTCTTCTTCCAACAACGGAATGAACTGCATGCCCGGTTCGTCGGTTGTAAAATTGAACCTGGACACCTCGGTGTAAGTTAAGACCTCAGGCTGAGAGGCATCGGGATCGATGATAACATTGGTGCCAGTGTCAAAGCAGGAACGCTTTGTGAAGCTGAATGTCTCCCCCGCAATGCACTTGTGCTGTCTGAGACTGGGTTGCTGCAGGCACTGTGCCAATGCATCGATGTAGCCGAGGGTTCGAGGGCAAAACTGTTGGCCTGTTACTGGCTGAGGCCTGTAAACCTGGTAAGGAGAAACACCTTGATTGGATTCATATCACTGCGGCTTAAGGGATCATTTACACATGAGCAGTGACAGAATTCAACATTTTACAAAATACCAAAAAGATGGTTTAATAAGGGACTCTTTACAATGAGCACAGACATAAGATGCAAGATATAAACATACAAGTTACCATGAGCGTGATCAATCCTTGGGTTTTCACCACAACCTCCCAACCAACTAGTATGACATCCTCTGTCATCCTGTCCACAGACTTAATGAAAACGCCCTGAACATCTGGCTCTGGTGGTTGGGTAGTCTGGTCTAGACTGGGGCCCACCATCCAAACAGTCGCATCTGTTATGAAAGAAAGAGACTGGGTAAGTGGTGGATAAAAAGTCCAATTGGAGCCAATATGGCTCATCAGGTCGTTGTTCTCCTCCAGTTTCACTGCACGAAACAACTGAGAATGTTTCTTTTTCCTCTTGCATCGGATGCCAGTCCCAACCCTGTTGTTCCCACTCAATGTCATTATGTGGGTATCTGTATCCCTGGGAGAGAGGCAAGTAGGGGTGAAGTGACTCGTTCAAGGTCACAAATTATGAACGGCAGCTGCATCCAAACTCCTGACCATCTAGTCATGAGTCCCAAACCTTAACCACTATAGGCAACACTCTTCCCTACAGTTAACATGTACCAAACTGGTCTGAGTTTCCAACTAGAAAAGAAGGAGGCATGGACTAGGTGAAATGAAAAATGGTACAGCACTAAAGCATGAGAGACTACACAAACTCAACCACTGCCGTCTTACATGTATTTTATTCACAGGCCTTCAGATCATACCGAGTATACAGTGTTTATAAACATACGATGGTGAAGGGCAAAATGCCGAATATAAAAAGGAATAAACCGAGAGTACTGCTTCTCATTGGGTTACATATGACTAACCGGCCAGTGTCAAGTTGAAGCTGTGGATTCCTTCGATGTCCACAGAGACTTCAGTTCCAGTTCCATAGATGGCAAATTCGCAGTCGAACACCTCTCCCTGCAGCACAACAACTGGACAGAGTCTCTTGATACCAATGATGGGGAGATGGACCTTCAGGTATGATGAGGCTGGGTAGGGGGCTTTCGCAACATCAAGTACAGTGGTTGTCATATGAACCAGACCTGGAGATCTGGAAGGAGTAAAGATCAAAATAATATAATATAATATAATTCTTAATATAACTCTGACTTCTGACCATTCTTGTTGGGAGACCTAATTCCTGAAAATCTTAACAGCGCATAAACCAATAAATCTTATTCTTTATGCTAAAGCTTTCTAGAAGTATTAAAAACCATTGTTGACAGGTGACTGAATTCTATTCTTTATCCTGCAAAATTCTCTGAAGACTCTTGTGGATTTTGAAAGATCTAGGCTGGTTTAACTGTAGTTGCCAAACCTAAAGTTTGACATATGCATTTGAAAACTTGCATCCTGCCAATTAGTTTGGTTACACTGCTTAAAAACTAAAATAGTTTGATGCATGTATCTTGACAGACATCCCTTCTGTTGCAAGTAATCCATCCATGAAAAACCGGACAACAGACGTGCAGATGAACACACAACGTCACTGACCAACCAAATTCAAACCTCCTGGCCACTATGCCACTATTTCATGCAACTTGAAGAGAAAAGCCATCCAATCAAGGCCTTCACTCCCATGGACATTTTTTATAATCGAGACAGTTTCTTACGCATGAGACAACATATTTTGAGAACAACCCCTTAGGGTGTATGTAAAATCATATTGAAATTGGAGGATTTGGGACTGTTAGGGTTAACAATTACTTTCCTGAAGATGAAGACCGTACACTGTCTGATGTATGTCTACATTGAAGGCCTTCTCTCACTGCCCAATTGTTCATCTTGTTTAAAGTAGGCCTACGTAATTCAAATGTGTATACAAGCAACCACACATTCTTCCATTACACTACTTTGCCAATCCAACTTTTTTTGTCATTAACAGGAATTCATCCACATAAATAGTACACTGGGACTTACAGAAACTGGTGACAAAATACAGGATCGTTGAAAGTCTCAGTGTACCCATCGCCAAACTCTACCACAACGGATGCTAGTCCCGATCCTTCAACCTCCAGAACGAAGAATGAATCGCTGAAGGCTGTCACATCCGTAGGAAAAATTACTGTCAAAATCAGATTCCGCAGGAGGGAAAAAAAGGAAAGCTCATCAAATCACCAAAGATGCAGCACTCTGAGTAAAGTACCTGTGGTAAGATTACATTGCAGTTGTTACCTTTTCCTACATTGAATTGTACGAAGCAGTCACAATACAGAGTTTCAATGGGACTGGCTTGCTTTAGAACAGTAATATTTCAAATACAGATTATGTAAAATACACTCTACGGTGAAAAAAATTCACAAACGGTGACCTCATGTCCAACAAGCTTACAACGGAGCAGCACAGAAAATCTTTAAAAAAGGAACAAAACAATTCCCATTACTCAAGACCAAATGAGTTATTGATTTACAAATTTGTTCGCTTGTTGACTGAGAACAGGATGAAAAAAATCCTTATTGTTGGGGGCATGGAACAACCAACCAACCAACAGTTCAGAATGGCAAACCAGGAGATGGTTTCCATGACAACTCCTTAAACCAATAACCCAATCAATACAGGAGTAGCTAGAGCTGGGCTGCCTTTGATTATACATTTATGATATTAACCTTTTAAATTATTAAGGACTATGGATTTGCCCTTGACATTCAAAGATAAAGCTATCTGTCGGGTAGAAAAACTGATTTTCTTATAAACGGATGCCCCAAAATTCCCCAGTTAAACTTATCCTAATATCCTATAAAATACAAGTACAGACATAATAATGGGCCGAGTGATCCCCATATATGCCAGTTCCAAAGTTCTTAATATTGTATGGCCCTTGTATATGATCAGGAGTATAAAATGAATGGATCCTTGTATGGCAAAATATGATCTACACCGCCATTCCTTAAAAGTAGGCAGACTCTATGCTGTAATGCAGTATTTAGCTTGCAATGCCTGCTTGGGTGCAGGCTCATCAGGTGCACGTGCCTGCCGCGGTGCCTGCGCTTAAGCGCTTGTGCATTAATGTGCATTGCGCAGGCGTATCGCTGGCTCAAATAGCGCCTATGCAATTACAACGTTTTACGTGTATTCTTGCACCGCTTCGCGGTGCTATACGATCTTTGGTTCTAACTAGGACCCATTCTAAGGCATTTTGAATAACTCATATACAGTAACTCACCTGAGTTATACACCCCTCCAGAAATTTTCACAGATGAAATGCTGACTGGCGGCACTTCATAAATGGAATTGTGGGTATCGCTCCCGCACAGTCTGGTTTGGTCCCCGGGGCATGCAAAGGTGCACTGTGCTGTCTCATTGTTTCCATAATGACCGTAGGAATCACCGCAGAAACACAGTCGACTTAATCGGAGCCCTGCATACCTGCCAGAAAAACAACATAAACATGTCGTTCACTACGAATACAAGACGTGGTCTCACACACAGTGCCAATTCAAAACGAACCATACTGTAGTGCCAGCGGGTCCGGCCGGTGGGGGCGCCAGCTTGGACCCACATGGAGTTGGCTGGCTGCCCGCGCTGGTATGCGAACGGCCCGCGGTTTTCCCGCCTCGCGCCTGCGCAGTCCCTGCCGACAGGCGCCATGTTTAGAGCTTGTCGGAAGAGCACATTGTGGTGTACACGACAGCAACAAAACAGAGATTTCGTGACCAGAACAGTGAGTTGCACCTGAGTGTCGTTCTTCACAGCGTCAAACCCTGTTCAGCGGGACACGCTACAACTGGTGGCAGCGGCGAGACGCTGGATAGCTGTAAAAAGACAGGTGAACTCTTCGCCTTCTCTGTGTAATGGAATTGGTGGATGATTTTGGTCGGGTGCCGGACTCGCTAGACAGCGGCATTACAGGCCAGTGCGGGGCCCCGTGGTCGGGGGCCCAGACTGCGAAGGCGACGTGGAACTCACCTGGGTTGGCGGGCGAGCTGGAGTCGTTCCTTGCTGAGAATCTGGAACAGTTATCCAGGAGCGGGAGGCGGAAATTCGAGGGTATCGAGTTCATCGAGTGCGAGGCGTGGAAGGATCTTGGGTTAGGTCCCCTGGAGAATGCAGCCAAGTCTGCGCAGTCCCCGGGCGACTTCCCCCTCCCAAAGTCGATGGGGCGAGAAAGGTGCAGTTCCGTTTGGAGCACGACCATTTCGCCCCGGTCGCTGGGGAGGGGGAGGGGCATCGCCAGGCGACATCCTCCCAACCCCTCACTAGTACATCTATCGCCGGCGTCCGTGGGGCACCCTCTGGCGGCGGGGATGCACTGGAATAGGTGTTCCAGTCGGAGCGCCCTCAGGGTGGGTCCGCGGCTGGGGGGTCCTGGCGGGGGCCGTTTGGAAGTTCATTCATGTCGTGTGGTAGCGTCGGGGCGCCCTCTCGCGGTACCGTCGTGGCCGAGAGAATGTTCCTCTCGGACACGGCCGGGCGGCTGCCGCGGGGTTGGAGCCTTGGTGCGAGATAGATGAAGCTTGTAATACTAGCCATAGTATGGTGGCGCCCTCTTGCGGCGCTGCGGTGGCTCCGGAAGCGTCCCTCTCGGAGCGTGGCCGGGCCGTGGCAGCGGCCGCGGGGGCGGGAGCTAGCGGACCCGTGACAAGTTTTGGGCGCCGGGGACGTGGCTGGTGTGGCGTACCGCCTGGAGCGCTGCGAAGCCGCGGCCACGGTCGTCGGGAGGGGGAATCGAAACGGGCTAGCTGGAGTTTGTAAGATAAATAGTGAGATGCGGCGCCCCCACGCGGCGAAACTGCGACGGGTGTCACGATTGAGGCGGATCCCCACTCGGGGATCTGCAAGTGTCTGTATGAGGCAGATCCCCCTTGGATCCGTGCACAAACTAACGAGGCGGATCCCTATTCGGCGATCTGCACGTGTCTGTGTGAGGCGGATCCCCCTCAGATCCACACACAGACATACAAGGCNGGGCGAAAGGTGGGACTTCCCCTGGACGTCGTTGTGGGGTCACCGGCGGAACGGACGGAGACTACCCAGGCACTAAATTACGTCGACGAGCTGAGAGCGGAGCTCACGCGGGCCCATGAGTTTGCCCGGCGACACCTGAGGCGGAATCAGAGCTACCAGAAGCAGCAGTACGACCGTCGCGCCCAGGAGGGCGGGTTCAAGCCCGGCCAGGCTGTTTGGCTGTTCACCCCAAAGAAGAAGGTCGGCCGCTCCCCCAAGCTTCAGTGGTGGTGGGACGGACCCTTTGCAGTGCTACAACGCCTCAACGACGTGACCTACAAAGTGCAGCGTACCGCCCGAGCGAAGGCTCAGATCGTGCATCGCAATCGGCTTAAGCGCTACCTGGGCGACGTGCAGCTTGGATGGTGGGAGCGTGCAGCCCGCGGAGCCTTGGCCGAGGAGGCGCCAGGGCGGGCAGCGGGGCAAGGAGCCAGCGGATCCAGCCCTCAGTCCTGCCCGCGGGGGCTGTCTCCCCCCGTTGACGAAGGAACCGCACTGGAACCTATTGACGGGGCGAAGTCGGGACATCCGGGCCGGAGCGGCGGCGTGTCGAACGGGGAGAATTCAGACACAAGCAGCCAGGGAGGCAGGGCGCCGGCGGAGCCATCGCCGTGCGAGCTGGAGGCGGGGGGAGCGCGCGTGACTCGCAAGGGGTGGCGGTTTCGGCGCCCGGTGCGATTCTGCTCCACGCTAACTCCTGAATCTCCCTCTGTTTCTCTCCCCAAGATGGACCGGTTGGCCTGCCCCCACTGTCGACGGGAATTCCGTCAGCGGACCAATTTGCGGCGACACCTGAGGACGGCTTGTCCAGAACTGTTCGCCGCCCGGCCCTATACCTGTGAGCGGGGGTGTGGCCGCTGCTTCTACTGCTCGGACATGCGGGATCGGCACCACCGACACTGCGACCACGTCCTCGTCGGCCAGATCCGGGCGGAGGATCCTGACGTCCCGGAGGTCTTTGCAAGTGGGGGGGGAGTTAGGGGGTGACGAGTTCCCCATGGAGCAGTCACTCCCCCCTGCCGGTCCTCCGGAAGGAGCCACCCGGACCCGCCCCCGGTCGGCTGCCGCGGGTAAGCCCTCGCCGCCGGTGTCCTCTCGGCGCCGAAGGCGGGGGTCGCGGGGCCGGCCAGAACGACGAGATCAGTTGGACTCGCCTTCCAGTGCGGCCCCGGGCCCCAGCGGCTGCCGCTGCGGCCGGGACCGCCCCCCTGCGCTGCTCAGTGGAGGCGGGGACGCAGACTGAGGAAGAACCCCCAGCCCCGGTTTGGAGTGGGGGCCGCTGGAGTCTGCCTCCCGCATCCTGGGTGACGTATGCGGGGGGATCCGCCTGCGACTGGGGGTGTGACCCACTCTGCAGGAGGAGCGGGTCACCAGAGACACAGACACCATAATGGACCCACCCCTCTGTGAGCTTCACCACAGCCAGTGGCGGTCGGAGGTCCAGCGGGAGCCCCCTCCACCGCCCACCGGAGTCCGCCCCCCGGAGCAGCGAGGCAACGCCGGTGGGCACCACGACGACCGGAGTCTCCTCCACACTGGACCCCTGGATCCCCCACAGCGGAGAAGACCCTCGGAACCCACCAGACTTGTACTTGTTGCTTGTTTTCACTCTTTGTAAGCTGCGCAGGGGCGACCGGAATGGCCGCTGGGTTGCGCCGCCTCGTTCGGGGACGAACAAGAGTCCTCGGAGGGGGCAGTGTAGCGCCGGCGGGTCTGGCCGGTGGGGGCGCCAGCTCGGACCCACATGGAGTTGGCTGGCTGCCCGCGCTGGTATGCGAACGGCCCGCGGTTTTCCCGCCTCGCGCCTGCGCAGTCCCTGCCGACAGGCGCCATGTTTAGAGCTTGTCGGAAGAGCACATTGTGGTGTACGCGACAGCAATAAAAACAGAGATTTCGTGACCAGAACAGTGAGTTGCACCTGAGTGTTGTTCTTCACAGCGTCGAACCCTGTTCAGCGGGACACGCTACAATACAAATAATAATAGACACACTTCATAAAAATGAAGCCCGCTGCCATATGTGAATAGGAGAAGTCACAATACAGAGCATGCACGAATGACAGACGAGCTTATCGGTTTAATAACCTGAAAGTCTGACTAAAACTACTTTGCCAAAGTCTTTGAAAGAGACACCAATAAGCAATCGTGTAGCCCAGTGAATTTAATTGTAATGTCCTGTTTTAAAGCATTTTCATAAGGATTCTGTAGTTTTCTACCCCTNGGGCGGGAGGTGGGACTTCCCCTGGACGTCGTTGTGGGGTCACCGGTGGAACAGACGGAGACTACCGAGGCACTAAATTACGTCGACGAGCTGAGAGCGGAGCTCACGCGGGCCCACGAGTTTGCCCGGCGACACCTGAGGCGGACTCAGAGCTACCAGAAGCAGCAGTACGACCGTCGCGCCCAGGAGTGCGGGTTCAAGCCCGGCCAGGCTGTTTGGCTGTTCACCCCAAAGAAGAAGGTCGGCCGCTCCCCCAAGCTTCAGTGGTGGTGGGACGGACCCTTTGCAGTGCTACAACGCCTCAACGACGTGACCTACAAAGTGCAGCGTACCGCCCGAGCGAAGGCTCAGATCGTGCATCGCAATCGGCTTAAGCGCTACCTGGGCGACGTGCAGCTTGGATGGTGGGAGCGCGCAGCCCGCGGAGCCTTGGCCGAGGAGGCGCCAGGGCGGGCAGGGGGGCAAGGAGCCAGTGGATCCGGCCCTCAGTCCTGCCCGCGGGGGCTGTCTCCCCCCGTTGACGAAGGGACCGCACTGGAACCTATTGACGGGGCGAAGTCGGGACACCCGGGCCGGAGCGGCGGCGTGTCGAACGGAGAGAATTCAGACACAAGCAGCCAGGGAGGCAGGGCGCCGGCGGAGCCATCGCCGTGCGAGCTGGAGGCGGGGGGAGCACGCATGACTCGCAAGGGGCGGCGGGTTCGGCGCCCAGTGCGATTCTGCTCCACGCTACCTCCTGAATCTCCCTCTGTTTCTCTCCCCAAGATGGACCGGTTGGCCTGCCCCCACTGTCGACGGGAATTCCGTCAGCGGACCAATTTGCGGCGACACCTGAGGACGGCTTGCCCAGAACTGTTCGCCGCCCGGCCCGATACCTGTGAGCGGGGGTGTGGCCGCTGCTTCTACTGCTCGGACATGCAGGATCGGCACCACCGACACTGCGACCACGTCCTCGTCGGCCAGATCCGGGCGGAGGATCCTGACGTCCCGGAGGTCTTTGCCAGTGGGGGGGGGGAGTTGGGGGGTGACGAGTTCCCCATGGAGCAGTCACTCCCCCCTGCCGGTCCTCCGGAAGGAGCCACCCGGACCCGCCCCCGGTCGGCTGCCGCGGGTGAGCCCTCGCCGCCGGTGCCCTCTCGGCGCCGAAGGCGGGGGTCGCAAGGCCGGCCAGAACGACGAGATCAGTCGGACTCGCCTTCCAGTGCGGCCCCGGGCCCCCGTGGCTGCCGCTGCGGCCGGGACCGCCCCTCTGCGCTGCTCAGTGGAGGCGGGGACGCAGACTGAGGAAGAACCCCCAGCCCCGGTTTGGAGTGGGGGCCGCCGGAGTCTGCCTTCCG